GGAGTGTACTACCCACATATACATAATAAAGCGCGCACACGCACACTTAAACTTACAGTTCCACGTAGACAAGTATACTTACAAAAACAGTGTACACACCACACACACATACACACATGCCGCTCACAGTAGCTGTAGAAATATTTCTGGAAGCACATTATATTGTATGGATTTCTCTTTATATATGTTTTTTGCAAGTGCTGTATTCAGCTTTGCATAGTCATAGGAAGAATGGATTTTTGGCCGAACTTTTTGTTTTCTATTTATTTTATACATCTTTTACTTTTCTTCTGTTTGTTTGGGTCTGTCGTAATTTCTTATTTTCCCGGCAGCTGATAGATTCTTTGATTATTTTCCCTCTTTCTCTCTAGGGCGATGAGATATAAAAAGAAAGTCCAGACATGTGTATTCAGAAGTACAGATGTTGCCATCATCACACTCTAATGTCCAAGAGCACACATGTGCCGTATTGACGGCTCTGTCCAGGTCTATCTCCGGTCTCAATCAATCAACCAAGTTCACCATGTCTTCACCTTCGTCTTTAGTGCACCATCAGTCACTGTCATGAGCCCGCTGTTCATTTACTCTGGCTCCAGACCTAAACTCTAGTCTCGTTGGAGATATATATATGTAATAACTTTTCTTAGCATATGCACATTCATTCCTTCTTCATCTTGGATTACTAGCCTGGGAATATCATTCTTACTCATCAAAAATTATTGAATGATTTAAAAGTCAGTGAAGACATCTTAAAAACAAACTAATAGTTTGTTATTGACCATAATTATATGGAAATACTGTTCCATTGTTTCTTCAAAAGAAGTTACAACTTGGCTATAATTCATCTCTAGTTTACAATGGCTGAGTTACTTGTATTTAGAGATGTGTTCTCTATATTAATTTCCTGTATTTTGTCAGCCATTTAGAACCACACTTTCTCCTTAATGTTGAATGTGTTGCTTGTCGTGTCTTGGTTGGACCATCCTGGCTTCTATGTCTATTTGTACGTCCAGCAGCTGTCTATGTGATGCCCGAGTAACACAGGATACCCGGAATGCGCATCAAAATATATATATATTTTTTTGCATTTTGTGTTGTCGACGAAGCCAATGGTCAAATATGCAAGAAACCGAGGTTGGCAGTACTCTTGTTTGTCCATATGTGTTGTCCCCTAACCACCATAGCAGAATAATACACAACATTATAAATACTAACTCCCTATTGAAGAGGAACATTTCTACTAATAACAAAATAAACTAGTTTTTTAATACATTTTGGTGTACCCATCTATGAAGGTCCCTTTTTCCTGGATTTTATTGGTGTACCCTTCCTACCCGTTGATCCTTTTTTTTCTGGAACAATATTTTGAAACATGAATAGAATAATTTGTTTGTAGATACAAGTTTTGATAGTTCGCTTACATGATTTTTTTACACTCAAAGAAGACTGTTCAGATCAGACATTTTAGTGTAAAGACAACACAAAGGTGAATTATCAAAAGCAGTCCCCATAATGCTCACCTTAGAGCCTGTTCAATAGCTCCATGCAGCTTACAGAACCTAATCCTTGCTCCCGTCCACTACAGGAGGTACTCTCCTACCTGAACCTCGCCTTCGCCGTTCTCTTCACCCTGGAGATGGTGATCAAGTGGGTTGCCTTTGGTTTCGTCAAGTACTTCACCTCTGTCTGGACACTCCTAGACTGCTTCATTGTCATGGTGTCACTCTGCAGTCTCTTTGTGGAGCAAGATAACCTCATTGCTCTTAGGAGTCTTCGGACACTACGAGCACTGAGGCCCCTTCGGGCTATCTCACGTTGGGAGGGGATGAAGGTAAGCAGACAGAGTGAGAGTTAGTGAATGAGTGTATGTTTTCATGTGAAGTTATGTCCATATATAGGCTTTTATATGGTATGTTTCATTTATATGATATATTTTCAAAATGTGTATCACTGTACATGTTTCATTAAAACTTTTATTTCCATGTGAATATATATCATATATGGCCTTATTATATATATAGATTTAGGTCATAATGCAAATATCTGAACATGTTCATTATAATTTTAAGTAGTCAAACTACCCATATCTGTGACATATATAGATACACAAATAGGTAGTATATGAATGTTTCCTTTCCTTAGGAAAGAAAATTCATTATAATTCTTCCCTCCTGCAGCATTAGATTGTGTGAATGCACTTATGTATGCCATCCCGTCCATCTTCAATGTGTTGCTTGTGTGCCTCGTCTTCTGGCTTATTTTCTCCATCATGGGCGTGCAGATGTTTGGGGGGAAGTTTTACAAGTGTATTGATCCTGTTGATAGAAAAATCCTCCCAGTTAAGGTTTGTAGACAAGAGGTTTTAAAACTTGAGTTGTAAGTTACTGATATTCTTTTATTTTATTTATTTTTTTTTTTCCACAGATAATGCAAATATGATAATGCTGAAACAATGAATTATTGATTGCCATATTGTTTGACATGTTCATGAACATATGCTAATGAATGCTTAATTTATTAAATTTTTCTTTTTTTATTGTCAATTTGCAGATTGTAAACAATCGAAGTGATTGTGAAAGGCTAAACTACAACTGGACCAATAGCAAAATAAATTTTGATCATGTGGGTTATGCCTATTTAGCCCTGTTTCAAGTGGTAAGGAACAATAGATTACAGACTTTGTTGAAATTCTTATGCATTATAGTACTAAAAACTCCTGTAATAATGTAGATATAATGCTTTCATGACTCATGTGTAACCAATATCCCATGCTAAGAAAATATTAATTTGACAAACCTAATTAATAGTGTTGTATTTGCAGATTCCTGAAACAGTTTTAATTTTCAGAAATGTATTATCATAAAGTTATTTTAGGTATATATGGTTTTCTGTTTCCTTAATTTTTTCCCCTTATTCTCTCCTTTCTCTGATTGATTGATTTCTCTGCAGGCAACCTTTGAGGGCTGGATGGAGGTTATGGCGGATGCAGTTGATTGCCGTGGACTTGACATGCAGCCAGAGAGAGAAGCCAACATTTATGCCTACATTTACTTTGTGATCTTCATTGTGTGCGGTTCCTTCTTCACACTCAACCTCTTCATTGGTGTGATCATCGACAATTTCAATGCGCTGAAGAAGAAGGTATGTAGGCAGGCGGTTTTACACTCTAAAATCCCTTGCTGATGTTTAGTAGCATTGCATCATCCCTGTTTAGACCTCCACACTTGGATAAACATGCTGACAATATATTATGTGCACCCAGTTCATTTGAAGCTAGTGAGGTACAATTGAGAAGGCACCCATTTTCTCTCTCTCTCCATTAGCTGCTTTTGAGCTAAAAAAACTCTTCAACTCCCAACAATGTGCCTTAGAGCAGCTGCAGCAGTTGTGATTGCACTATTTTGATTTTGAAAGATGTTTCATGGGCACCAGTGGTATATATGCTTACACAGTTAGGACATTGTTACTGTAGTATGTAGATCAACATTATTGCAGTAATATGATAGTTGTAAGATGTGTTCCTTTTGGTGTTCAGTGTCCCCCTGTCTTATTCTCCTCTCTGTAGCCTCTCAGATTTGTAGACTTGTCCTCAGTGACAAACAAAATTTTGATTTTGAGAACGAGAGATATTTCAAGTGCAATGCAGTCACAAAAACTTAAATGTTTTTGCCTTAGAAGAGCATTTCCAAGCCATGGCTAAGTGCATGGAAGTCCAAATGCCAGGCATAAAACCTGTGTGACAGGCATCTTGTTATCAGAGGAAGCAGTGGCCAAGATATGGTAGTAACGATCCAGGAACACTTGATAGAATAATGGGAAATACTTTGTTCATTTCATCAGCAACATAACCATCTTTATTCCACAAGCACATATTTCTATTTAAATATATTCCCTTTCCTCACCCTCAGATATACGTATTTCTCATTATAAAAAAATGTGTTATTCCTGCTCTTACTATGTTCATAAACATTCCTCTGTGCTTATACAGTGCCTTACTGAGAGTTTTAGAGAAGTCCGCTAGCTGCCAGTGCTAAGCTGAGCCCAAGTGTGACCAAAAGGCTGTTCTCTAGCTCGAACTCTTAAACAGCACTTGAGTAATAGAACAACCCACAAATCTAAACAGTTGAGAAAAAAAAGCTTGCATGTTTTTACAACAACCAAAATAACTAGGACATGCTGAAAACCAGGGATTTGATATGCATGCTCACTTCCTACCATTTCATCACTCACTTGTACAGTCGGCAATTCCCCATTCAGAACTCTCTGTTTGGTGTTTTTCCCAGGCAACCAAGAGTGTAGTCAATGATGTCAGCAAGTTAGAAAGTGAATTATTAATATTATTATTGTTTTTGGTTGTTTTGTTACATGTCTACCATACAGTCACTTCACTGTGTGTGTATATACATCTCTTATATATATATACATATAGACATGAAAACTCCTCCTTCCGTTGGTTCTCTTAAAGTATGTTGATATTTCGTCTATTCAGTGAACTTGATTGGTGATCCCAAAACCACTACTATAAATATCACATAATACATTACCAAAAAGTTATATATATAGTCAGAGCATGCAGGTATATACATGTTCTTAAACCCATAGAAATATCAACAGTTAAACCAATAACAACACTTATAAAGTGATATTTGATGTTAAAGATGTAGGAAATTTCTATGGTAGGAAATCCATACATCAGCAATTCCTTGACATCTCATTATGATTATTATTTATGCCAATCTAATACCTCTCTTTTGTGAACATTTCAGTACTAAATATAACATTGTTAATCATTCTTAACCTCTACGAGCATCCACTTAGGGACTCAAGTGATGTTGACCAGTTCAAACCTTTCTTTTTCCTTCTTGTTTCAATGCCTAATGCAGTTTTCTATTACCGGTGTTAGAGCAGACTCGTAGACTGTTAGCTTTCAGTGTGTTGTGGTACCAAAACCCTCTTCTTCTCTCTCCCCTCCCAAATTCTCCCAACCTACTTGTGTAACC